GAAGACAACTGCCAAAGATGGGCTGTCACCTTCAAGTTTTTCTTCAAGCTTGATGTCCATGGAGTCTGAAGCCTCAGGAGATGACACCTCTGATTTGTTTAGCAAAGAGTTCACAACAACAAGTTCTTCACTTTATGCTCCAAACAAATCAGAACAAGAAATACCATCTGACACAACAGAAACAATCTCAGTGTCTAGCTCAACAGATGCTGAAGTTACAAGATATCAGACAACTGAGACACATAGTAGAGAGCCTGTTTCCTCTCTTGACTCTACCGTAATTACTGCTGTACATACATTTTCATCACTGAGCACTGAGGACTCAACAGGAGAAACTGTTACTAGTAAAGATGTTGCATCTCATACAGCAACAACCACAGCTGCTCTGATGGAGGACAAAGATCTGCTAGGAAAACCATCTGAATCCACCATAATGAATGTTTCAGACACTCTGTTTTCCTCTCTTCAGACTGAACATTTAGACAAGACATTGTCTGAAATCACTGTTACAATGACCTTGGAAAAGACAACTGCCAAAGATCTACTGTCACCATCAAGTTTTTCTTCAGGTTTACCATTTACAGAATCTGAAGCTTCAGGAGATGAGACCTATGATATGTTCATCAAAGAGTTCACAACGACAACTTCTTCACTTTATACTCCAACCAAATCAGACCATGAACTTAACAAAACATTGTCTGACATGACAGGAATAATCTCAGTTTCCAGCTCAACAGATACTGAAGCTATAAGAGATCAGACAACTGAGACACATAGAAGAGATACTGTTTCCATTCTCGACTCAACAGGAAGAATCGTCACAAGTCAAGATAATACAACACATACAGGAGCAGTAATTGTGACGGAGGCAACAGAACAATCAACAAAGTCATCTGAGTTCACCATCACTGATGTTTCAGAGACTCTGTTCCCATCCATTCAGGCTAGACTTTTAGATGATAAATTATCTGAAAGCACTGTCAAAAGCTCAATGACCTCAGAGCAGATAACAGTAAAAGATCAACTGTCACTTTCAAGTTTTACTTTAGTTTTGCCGTCAACAGAGCCTGAAGCTTCAACAGATCAGACAACTGAGACACATAGTAGAGAAGCTGTAACTAGTGTTATACATACATTTTCATCACTGAACGCTGGGGACTCAACAGAAAAAACAGTTACAAATAAAGATTTTACACATCATACAGCTCCAACCACAGCTACTATGAACGAGGACAAAGATCTGTCAGCAAAACCATCTGAATCCACCATTATTAATGTTTCAGAGACTCTGTTCTCACCTGCTCAGACTGGACATTTAGATGAAACATTGTCTGAAAGCACTGTTACAATGATCTTGGAGAAGACAACTGCCAAAGATCTACTGCCACCAACAGGTTTTTCTTCTAGTTTATCATCTACTGAGTCTGAAGCTTCTGGAGATGACACCTCTGATATGTTTAGCAAAGAGTTCACAACAACAAGTTCTTCACTTTATACTCCAACCAAATCAGACTATGAACTTACCAAAACATCATCTGATATGACAGAAACAATCTCAATGTCCAGCTCAACAGATGCTCAAGCTACACGAGATCAGACAACTGAGACACAAAGTAGAGAAACTGTAACTAGTGCTGTACATACATTTTCATCACTGAGCACTGGGGATGTAACAGGAGAAACGGTTACAAGTAAAGACGTTACATCTCATACAGCAATAACCATTGGTGCTATGATGGAAGATGTTGCATCTCATACAGCAGCATCCACTGCTAGGAAAGATCTGTCAGCAAAACCATCTGAATCCACCATCATTAATGTTTCAGAGACTCTGTTCTCCTCTTCTCAGATGGGACATTTAGATGAGACATTATCTGAAAGCACTGTTACAATGACTTTGGAGAAGACAACTGCCAAAGATCTACTGTCACCATCAAGTTTTTCTTATAGTTTACCATCTACAGAGTCTGATGTTTCAGGAGATGACACTTCTGATATGTTTAGCAAAGAGTTCACAACTACAAGTTCTTTATTTTATACTCCAACCAAATCAGACCAAGAACTTACCAAAACACCATCTGACACAACAGAAACAATCTCAGTTTCCAGCACAACAGATGCTGAAGCTATAAGAGATCAGACAACTGAGACACATAGTAGAGAAACTGTTTCCTCTCTTGACTCTCTTGCTGTACATACATTTTCATCACTGAGCACTGGGGACTTAACAGAAGAAACAGTTACAAGTAAAAATGTTACATCACATATAGCAACAACCGCAGCTACTCTGATGATGGACAAAGATCTGTCAGCAAAACCATCTGAATCCACCAACATAAATTTTTCAGAGGCACTGTTGTCCTCTGCTCAGACCGGACATTTCAATGAGATATCTGAAAGCACAGTCACAATGACCTCAGACCTCAAAGATGTCCTTTTACCATCAACTGTTTCTTCAAACTTGCCATCAACTGAGTTTGAAGGTTCAGGAGGTGAGACCTCTGAAATGTTTAGCAAAGAGTTCACAACCAGTTACTCATATTATGTTTCAAACAAATCAAATGAACAACTCACCAAAACACCATATAACACAACAGAAGCAGCTTCAAAGTCTAGTTCAACAGATGCTGCTTTCACAAGCACAATGCCACCAAAGGAGACAACATCCAATGATTTTGTTTCACTGTCAAGTTTTACTTCAGTTTTGCCATCTTCAGGGTATAATGGTTCAGTAGCTGAGCCCTCTCATATGTTTAGTAAAGTGTTCACAACAAGTTCTTCACTTCAAATTACAACCAAATCAGACGATGAAATCACAAGTACTACAGCACAAAAAATGAAAGCTTCTGTGAAAATGCAAACAGAACAAACTACCACACAGACCCTTTCTACAGTACCTGCTATAGACCTGACCAGTGCAAGCTCAGTGTGGACCTCAACTGATGCAGATATCCCAAGAATAAAGCCAACAGAGAGACATCAAACAGAATCTGTTTCTTCTTTTGTCGCTAATATCTCAGAAGAAACAGTTCAGCAAGAGGTTTCCAGTGATGAAGACAGAATTACACTGACAACTAAAGCATATGATAATTATATTGTAGCCACTGATGAGGCAGAAATTCATGAGACTGGCCAAACATCAGAGCCAATGAGACCTGCAAGTTCTTCACATTCCACTTCATCAACAAATGAATTGTTTTCAAGCACAGTGCAAACAGTAGATACAGACTCATCTTCTGAACAAGGTAGTGGAGACATTTCAGAAAATGAAGTGGCTGAAGATGATGGCTCTGGTGAAATATCCTCTGCTGTTGTAGAATCAATACCTCGCCATGTTGCACCATCAGAGGACAAGACAACTGCTGTTGGTTTTGAGTCAACTCCTGCTTATGGAGTGCAGCCATCAGAAAATGTGACAGCAACAATAGATGTTACAACAACTGTGAGTGGAAAAGCTATACCAAGCTCATTTTTTACTCTCACAGAGGTAGAAAGTTCTGGTCAGCAGACACCAGAGATGTTCACCACAGCTCCCTCATCTATGATCACAAGTCAAGAGGTCATGACACCTCAACGAGAGATTGTCTCTTCAATGACTGAATTTTCCATGATTAGTCACACAACTAAAGAAACTAGCACCCACCTTACAACAGAATCAGTTAGATCAAGTTACACAACAACAGAGCCTGTTAGTTCAAGACTCACCTCAGTGTCTTCTAGACCTTCTCATACTATTACTGAATTACAGTTGACTAAACACACCACAGAATCAATTATTAGTCCTACTACAATTGGATCAGGTAAACCTAGTCTCACTTCAGTGGCAACAGTTGAATCTGACCACACTGCACCTTCAGGTATTCAAACGATGCCTGGTCCTTTTAAGCACATCCAAATATCAACAGTCACTGCTAGTTATGAAGCAACTTCAGCTCTTCTCAGGACAAAAACAATGTTTACATCTTCTAGCAAAAGCCAAAGCAAGCACACAACAATTTCATCTGATGCAGAGGATGATACAACAGATGATGAAGGATCAGGGGTGTCCCCTGTCATGCATGTTTCATCATCGGCCATCAAAACTCAGACTGGTTCTCCTACAGTTCATATAACTAGCACTGGTTTCACAGAACTAGACAGAGACATCACTATAACACAAAATTCAATACCTATCATATCTGCCTCTGTAGAGAGCGAAGGCTCTGGTATTGCAGAAGATGACCAAGAAACCACTCAAGTGGATAGTTCTGGTGAAGAGAACAGAGTAAGTCCAACAGAGGAAATGTATGACAATTATACCGTGCCCACTGATGACATTGAAATCAGTGAGGCTAACCACACATCAGAGCTAGTGAGCTTTGTAAGTTCCTCCCATTCTACGTCCTTCACAACTAAATCAACATTGTTGTCTAGCACGGTCCAAACAACAGTGAGATTTTTATCTACTGAAAGTAGTGAAATAACAGCTGAAAGTGAAGTGGATGAAGATGGTGGCTCTAGTGGTGAAATATCACCATCAGCTCTTGAGTCAATTCCTCCTCAAGATACACCCACTGAGGACAAAACAACTTCAACTACAATCACACAACCACAGGGACCTGAAGCTGCAACACCTGCTGCAGAACTGACATCTGAGGCTTTATCAGTTTCAGAGACACAAAAGAGTACCTTACAGCCAAGCACTCCAGATACTGACTTAAATAGGTTTGCATTATCAACCACAGAGGATGACAAGGAATTTACCTCGCCAGGAGATCCTACTGATGAAATATCCAAAACACTAACAACTAAGGCATATGATGACCTAACTGTAAGAACCGACGAGGCAGAAGTTGATGAGACTGAGGAGAAAACAGGTTTCTTGAGTGCTGCATCTGTCACTGGCAGTACATATTTCATACATCAGTCAACTTTATCTCCATCTCCCTCATTCCTAAGCTCCACCCAGTCAACTGTAACGTTTATGACTTCACTTTCAGAGGATGGCAGTGGGGAAGACTCAACTGAGGGGGATGGAGCAGAAGATGATGGATCAGGTGATGATACAACTCCTGTGACATCTTCACCTTTGCTATCAAGCTCAAAGATGACAGAGACAACGATTAGCCTTACACCCTTTAGCTCAGTCAAAAGTGGACAGTACAATACAGCCAGAGTTGTTTCACAGGGACGCACAACAATTGAAAGGCAGAGTGTGTTTTCAAGCACAAGTGCTGAAGGTTTCGCTCTGGTGTCAGTGACAGCACCGACAGAGCAGGGACATTCTGCTGTTTCTGTCTCAGATTTAGCAGCAACTAGCATTACAGCTCCAGGAACACCATCTGGTGTGATAACCAGCCACACTAAATTGCCTTCTTTCATGACACCTCAAGATCCTGTGTCCACCGCTACTCCATTGGTCTTCTCTAGGGACAGTGCTGATCAGCAAGTCACTCCAACAAGCCCAGTCTTAATATTCACAGAGGAGGAGGAAGATGAAGATAAGCTGTTTTCAACTGTAACAGAAAGTATGAGAGATCATAGCATCAAACCAGAAGTTTTCAATAAGGATGACATGATTATTGATGCAGATACTATGTCTGTTTTAGAGCAGTCTTCTCCCTTCGCCCCTACAATTGTTACAGAAGAAGCAGCTGGGGTAACCCCAATTGGCATGACGGCACAACCCTTAAGGTTTATGACAGAGGAACCAGAGGGATCTGGAATGGACGGCACTGAGTTACCTCAGTTACATGTGTCATTTGAAACCACAACAGACAGGTTAATAGTTCAACAAACCCAGTCAACCCCAGACATCTTGCAGAGCAGTTCAACATATTTTGAAGAGGAAACACAAGCAACACAATCTCCCGAGGCTACTGATGCTGATGTACCTGAACACACACAAGATGGCCAGACCTCCACAGAATCCACAGAATTTACAATGGAGACACTGACTGATGTCTTCTCAGGAGACGCTTTGTCTACTGATGATTCTATTCTGGAAACTGATTTAACCCCCATGCCATCTCAAGTGTCCACAGACAGAGTCATAGAAATGGTCTCAGCTGAAGAGGACCCATCTGAAGTTGTATCAACACAAGCTTCCAAGACCAAAAACAAAACAATGCCACCAACAGCCCTAAAAAGAAAGACAACACATCTGCCACTACATACAATATCTTCTAAGGTGGAAGCTTCAAGTGAATTATCTGACCAATATGAACCTACTCAAACAACTATGTCCAGTCACCTTTTCACTTCATCCATTGCTGTTACAAGTAGTTCTCTTTATGTTGATTCTGTTTCACCTGAAGAGGAAATAAACTTTACTGGAGATTATCTAACATCTGCCTCATCAAGTTCTGGAGAAAGTGTTTCTTCACAACATCCAGATGAGATCACAGGCACTGAACAGCCAGTTTCTCCAGTATCGGATTTAACAAGCACTGCATCTTTCCATACTGCATCAAGTGCTAGCATGACTGAACCTGCCAAAACCACTACAAGTACATACACCAAAACAGCAGCAACAGATGATAATGACTTAACAGCTGACACAGAGGAAACATTATGCATGACAAGTGTTGATGACATTGAACTCAGTAGTCCCTCTACTGATAAGGCAATTCAGGGGAGTGATTTAACAAGCACAGATATATCATCTAGATCTGGTATTTCAGAGGAAACCACAAGTGCATTATTTTCTTCAACAGATTATGGCTCAGGGGACCAAACAATTGAAACAGTTACAGGACTGTCTGATTCAACAGACTCACCTTTAATAACTGAAGATGATTCAGTGACATCATCTATGGAGAGTGATATTGTGATTTACTTTGGAACAACCCCTTTGCCTGAAGCAATTACAGTAACTGATGGTGAACCATATCATCAAGCTTTGTCTGAAATGACAGTGACACATAAGCCCAACACAGACATCAGGATTGATGAAGACGTGCCATTGCCATCAACAACCATTCCCACACCTCTTATATCTGCATCAAAGTTTAATACGACTACGGACATAGTAACATTAGTGGGATCTCCTACATCTACACCCATACCAGGGCTGAGTGACAAAACAGTAGCTCCACTTTCCTCTGAGGAAGAGACAGATAACATAATAGATTATGATACAAAAACTGAACCTTACAACGTATATTCCATGCCAGATTTCATGAACAAAACAGACATCGACAATGACATTAGCTTAGAAGATGTGACTAGCATTGATGACATCACTCATCCTGAAGGTGAGAAGAGCTTCTCTACCTCACCACCTGATGCTGAGACAAGCTTTGAGACCACATCAGAGCCTGATGTTGTGACTGGTTTTGAGACCACATCACAGCTTGATGTGGAGAATGGTTTAGAGACCATCTCACAGCCAAATGTTGACACTGGCTTTGAGACCAGCTCACAGCCTGATGTTAAGACAAGCTTTGAGACAACCCCACAGCCTGATGTTGAGACTAATTTTGAAATCACCTCACAGCCTGATGTTGAGACTAGTTTTGAAATCACTTCACAGCCTGATGTTGAAACTAGCTTTGAGACCACTTCAAAATCAAAAATTGACACCGACATTGAGACCTCAAAATCTGTTGATGGAAACACACAAGCAAAAGTTTTGAATACTGAGACCACCTCTCAGCTTGACACTGAAACAAGCTTTGAGACAACCATGCAAACAGACATTGAGAGTGAAACTACTTTTGAGAGTGTCTCAAGAACTGAGAGTGATGCTTCAGTCACCAGGTCACCAAACAGTGGAACAAGTAGTTCAGAGAAAAGCACACCTGGAGAGGTAAACACCATATTATCTGATAAGCATCACACCACAGCAAGACTTTCTGATGTCACAGATAAACCAAATTCCACTGCTACAAGTGAAGACAAATTCTTGGAAGAAAGAGTTGAGCATACAACCCAGTCCAAACAAAATGACACAGGATTCAGGACCACCACACAACCTCAATATGATGGTTCTGTAACTTCCAGTAGTTTGAAGAGCAGCTCAGAGAAGGATTCAGTTATCATCCCATCATCTGATGAGGTTCAGGCAGTAATTCTGTCTACTGCAACAGCCTCACCTTTTCTTCTGACACCTGAGTCTGATATAAAGATTGTCAGTAAGGAAACTGCCTCAAGGAAACAAGAAGCAGCTGGTCAGATTGAGGAAGCTGTAACTCTTACAACTGAGATTCCAATTCAAGAAGAAGATCAGATGACATCATCAGTACCTACAACCCAAAGTGAGACTGCAACACCATTTTCCTCCCATGAAGACGTTTCTGAGGCCACTTTGGTTAAAAGCTCACCTCCAAGTGCACAGAATGAAAGCACAACACACAGTACAGCAGACCTTCCATACACAATGATCGGACAGACATTTGATATTCCAGGTAGGTTGTAAACACTGTTTTAAAAACCAAATTAATTGAATGCATATACTGTACTTTTAATAGTTATACCAGTATTCTTGTTTTGCACGTACACAATGACATGCCTATATCTTCCCTCTCTCACTGCAGATGTTCATTCCTGTTCTGATGATGTTTGCTTGAATGGCGGTTCTTGTGTAAAAATAGTCGGTGCTCAGATCTGCAGCTGTCCACCTGGATACAGTGGTGACCAGTGTGAAATAGGTATCAGTGTTTCATTCTTTTTATTAAAGGTGCACTACAGAACTTTGAGCTCAATATTGCCATCTGTGGCGAAACATAAAATGACAAGTTACTTGACATATTTTGCATGAGCTGTGCTTCACACTGCTGCTCTGCATGGATGAATTTGATCATTTGAGCAATGAAGTAGCATATCTGATGCTATAGTACCAGACCTTCTTTACTCTGTTCATGGAAATTATGTAACTATACCAAGGCAAATGTTCAAAATATAAATTATTATTGTATACTTAACTGTTTTTGTACCCTGATTCAGTAAGGTATCAAACACTTATTTTTAATTCTCAATAATGGGATTTTGCTAATTTTTTACACCCAACAAAGTCTTCTGTATTCACCTTTAAATTCTTATTAACTCCCAACTAATTGTAATGCACTTAAGTACATTATTTACTCACCTTATTATTTTAATTTATTTATTTATTAGACATCGATGAATGTCAAACAAACCCTTGTCGTAATGGAGGAACATGTATTGATGGCCTGAACTCATTCACCTGTGTATGTCTTCCGAGTTATGCAGGAGCACTGTGTGAGCAAGGTAAGATTATATTAAACATATAATCTCTTGTTCAGTTCAAAGGTCACAATACTAAATCTGTCAACTTGCTAATAAGGCGTGAAGCTACTGTAGCCACAGAGACAGCTGTGGAGATGTACCATTTGAAACTCTAAACTTTTATATGAGGTCATCGTTAATAAAAATACTCAGACGTGCTTGGCAGATATGGGTTTGGTAAATGTGACTCATGATTTGGTAGATCCTGATAGATAATATATTTTTACTTGATGTAAGTAACTGGGTTTGTTCCAAAACCGTTGCATGCTAGCAGACAGACAGACATAATGATGCTGTACTTTCCACTATTTAAGAGGATACAGTTTTTTTAACCTTCTTATTTAAGCACAGCTGTTAAGACCATTAGTCTTTCCCTTATTACTCTGTAGATGTTAATTTACACTTTACATGAGTGAGATTACTTTCTTGAGAGTTGTATTCCCTTTACAGTATTGTAAGTTCTTGTACACATTAAAATGCTAACAGCAAAATCTCTTCAGTTCAACTCACATCAGGCTTTTGTTAAAATAAAAACAAATAAATTTTTACGTCATGAGTGCATTACCGTTTTGAGTACTCTGAACACGATTTTCATCTCAAACTTGAGATAGCATCAACATTACAGACACAAAGAAGTGTCTCCTGCACTGAAACTGCCTCCTGTTACTACCTGTTACTGCCTCCTGTGATTCAGATTGACTCAGATTGTAAGTGTAAGTGGTTCAGTCTCAGAGTGTAAGTGCTCAGACATAGCTACTCACAGAGAAAGCAGAAAGGCAGAAAATGCTGCTAAATGCAATCTATGCTAAATGAAGTAACATGTCATTATTTAAAGTCATGAGCCAACATAGCTTCATGCATTGTCACTTGTATTTGTACTGATATGTTATGGATGATTTAATGCTTGATATATTAATGAGAGTTTTAATAGTTTTATTCTTTGGTAGCTATAGTTTATTCTTTGTTGCAGTAGTGACACATTAGAACCTGACATTTCCCCTCCTGCATGTTAATTTGCAGAAGGTTTATTAACATGCACTAACATTAGTGGTTCTGTCAGGGCAAGTCTGCTATAATCACATTGATTTCAAATAAGGAATCAAAGCTTTCAGCTTGACGTCGAACAGCCCTGGGTTTGTCCACAAACAGTCAGTAAGTGTGTTTACAAGCACTTTAAAGGTTTGATTTCAGTTGGACTAAAACAATAATTTGTCTTTTTAAAATATCATGTGAGTCTGACTGAAGTTGTACAAGCAGACTGTAGCAAAAAAAACAGCTTTATCTTGATTGTAACGGCGCACATAAACATACTTGCTGTGACTGATAGGACACACTTTATTTGCAAATTTAATGTGATCATAGTATCAAATGCTGATCTAGGTACTTTAAAATAATTTGTCAAGAAGACTAATAAATTGCTGGGTTCATAATATGCTTACTTTAAAACTTTGAGTTTCCCAAATGGTTACAGCCATATAAGTGGCTGTTTGTTTTTACAGGTAAGCTTTGCTCCAATACCTCTTTCTTAAACAATGCCTCAGAGCAAGGCACCCAATCTGTAGACATTCTTATGCAGAAATGAATTGGCTTCCAGATATGATAGACACATGGGTGTAGCTCTTGCTCTAAGTGATCTCGTTTAGCTGACATGTAATTTAAAATGAGGATGAAAGGGAGTTATAACATGGTCCCTCAGGTCCAGTGTGAGTGGGAAATCATTCTTACTTGAAAAGAGTGCCACTGAACAAAAAAAAAGGTTTGATTTATTGTACTGATAACAGCCTCACAGTGTAAGCCCAAAGGTAAAGGACTAATAAAAAGAAATTGACCGTAGACAATACCAAGCACCTTTTTTTCACTTACAGCAACAGTATTATCTCAGTTTCAGTGTCTACATGTCAAGTTTATGTGTAGTACATCAACAATAATTCACACATGATTTTCTACAGACACTGAAACATGCAGCTATGGCTGGCACAAGTTCCAGGGCCACTGCTACAAATTCTTTCCTCATCGGCGTAACTGGGACACAGCAGAGCGTGAATGTCGCCTCCAGGGGGCACACCTGGCTAGTGTCCTGTCCCATGAGGAGCAGCAGTACATCAACCGTGAGTATACATAAACCAAGTTATGGTCATTCTGTCTAATATCATGAGCTCTAACTTATGCCATCGATTACATTTACATGCAAACTAACAGTTATTTATTAGGAAGGATACTGTTGTTTTGTTTCCATTTTTTTTTCATTTAGTTTTTTGTTTTACTTCTCACTACAAAAGTGTTTAGAGTTATGGAATATTCCATTGGTTCAGGAATTTTTAGCCAAAGAGTTTAAAGAAAGAATAGTATATCACCAATAAAAAAGGGTCAAATGCTCCTCCAGCCCTAGATGCAGGAAGTGTGATGTATAAGAACAAATATGCCCTTTCAATGGTCATTCTGTCTAATATCATCAGCTCTAACTTATGCCATCGATTACATTTACATGCAAACTAACAGTTATTTATTAGGAAGGATACTGTTGTTTTGTTTCCATTTTTTTTCCATTTAGTTTTTTGTTTTACTTCTCACTACAAAAGTGTTTAGAGTTATGGAATATTCCATTGGTTCAGGAATTTTTAGCCAAAGAGTTTAAAGAAAGGTTAGTATATCACCAATAAAAAAGGGTCAAATGCTCCTCCAGCCCTAGATGCAGGAAGTGTGATGTATAAGAACAAATATGCCCTTTATTTTTAACCACTGACAAAGAGTTCCTAATATGTCTGATGAATTGACCTTTGTTTCTCTCTCCCCTTGTAGGCCTCGCCCATGACTACCAGTGGATCGGTTTGAATGATAAGATGTTTGAGAATGATTTCCGGTGGACAGATGGTAGTGTTGTGGTAAGACCATTCTTCAAAACTTGCTTATTAGTTTCTCAAAGTATGTTTTGGAAAGATGGTGTTGATACACACATTTATTAGTGGACAATGTAGATGCAATATTTATAATATTTATTTATAAAGTTTGCTTGTATTTTCCATGATGCTTGCAGATTTTTTTTTCTTTAAAAAGCAATTCATTTAAATAACATTTGAAATTTTTAGCAAGAATTTGTAGATGTGAAAAAAGGAAAACAGCAGACATATGTCACTATCTCCCTGGTTCTAGAGGTGTTCCTCAATTGAACAGGAAAGTGGCTAATTACAGTCGTTTAGTCCTGACCAGGCTCTCACTTCAAAGATAAAGGCAGCATTTTGTGGGGAAGGGCCAGAAAGCCCTGGAGGGCAGGAGATAGGAGTTTTCATCTGTGGAAGTCCTCTCAGGACTGGAGGATCAAAATAAAATGAGGATAGAGGAAGGTCACAGGTGTGGACAGGTAATGGAGGTGTGAAGGATGAGCAGCACCTGGAACAGGCTGCACTAGATATAATCCAGACCTAAAATGTGAGTGTGTGACAGTTCAATCCAGTTGGCATCAGTGAGGGGCTATAAACATGTCCACTGGAGTTTGCAAGCACTCATATAGTATTCTGTATACAGAAGAGTTACTAAATTAAGAGTTTATGTTTGTTAATGTATTTAAGTATGTGACGTTGGAGTTATCGAGACGGTCAAAAATGGCCATCATCAATTTCATCAATTTTCATCAATTTCATCAATTTTCAAGCAGGAAGTGCACATTCCTTTTGAAAGAGGATAATAACAGGACTTGTTGGCCGATTTGTGTTTGAAGACTAGGTAATAGTTAAAGGGTTGCTGAAAGACCAGAGCTCCAACCTGTCTCGATTGGGTATAATTACTTAATGTTTCATATATGTGCAAACTTCACTGTTTTAATTTAAGTAACAAAAAAAAAAAACAGATATAGAAGACTGCCAATAAACATTTAATTCATATTATTATGGTTAAAGCAATATACTGTACAAGTTGAGCTCAGCATAGTAAGTGTAGTATTAGTTACTTTCTTTATAGGTTGGTCTTTTCAATTGTTATTCTCCTTTGAGTGCATACGTCCACAGTTGAGAGAGATGACTGATGACATCATACCTGCATCGTGTGGTGTGTGCAAGAGGGAAATACAGTGAATAAAGTTTGTCCATGATAGTTGAATATAGATGTATTACTATAAGTTTACTATAACTACTACCTTCCAAATGCATAACACCACTCCCTGCAGCTCATTGCAGTGTTGCATGTTGATGTATGTACTTAGCGCCCCCAACTGGAGTGTGCCTGTATCGTTATCATTTTATTGACTTTCTGTACTCAATACATAGAAAGTCATACTCTGTTTATAAGCTTCCCACGTTGTTACATTTGTGGTGTTCTCGATTAAAAATTACTGCCCTACAAAAATTGCTTATACATTTCTTGTTATGCTATATTATTACCAAATTGTGGATTTAATCTTTTTATCAACTTGTTTTCTTTCAATTAGCATAGGTTTTGTATTTCTTTTTGGAACTGGTTGATTGTAGACCTCATTAATCTGAGCTTATGCACCTCGGTTTTTGAGTGAATATTGCCAAGATCCAAGAAGGAAAAACAAATCCTGTGCTAACTGAACGAAAACAAGTTGACAAAAAAAAAAAAGAAAAGAAAAAAAGAATGATAATATAACATAATAAGAGATTGACAAGCTATTTTTTAAAATGAAAATGTGCCTTAATACATTTTCTTAAAATCCAAATGTAGATGAGCTATAATAGTGCAACTGCCATAAATATTATAGAATTCAGTATGATTCTTCAAGTTTACAAGAACCACAAATGTTTGCAGACATCCCGTTGCTTACTGAACAAATGAGAAACCATACATATGGATGTAAAAGAATATGTAAAGCACAAGCAGTATATTGCTGTTTTGAGCCAGGTACAATTTCTTTTAAACACTCCAAAAATACACTGTCATAACTCAAAGTGTATCATAATCAGGGGTTAAATTGGGCCGGGGCCGTCCGGGGCTGAGCCCCGGCACATATGCTTACACTGGTAACTCATCAGAGGACTTCCCTCGTACATTTTCAACATTATAGGCTATAGTTTTAAACACTTTTCACACATACTAATCCAAGCAATGATGTGACACAGGTGTTTTTATATGTATCTCTGAAAGGAACCGAGTGTCTTCAAAAAGTTTCGATTGCATTTAAACTTTATCTGAAAAAGGAGCGTTCATGAGTGCAGCGCTGCTTTGTTTACAGCCATTACCGGGGAAACCGCTATATTTGTTCTAAAAGCGCCTCCTACTGGCAGAGAATCAAATTGGATTTTCAATAAGCCTGTCTGCTGTTTCCCCCCCATCTGCTCATAAAACCCTGTTTTAAATTAATAAAATAATTTATACTTCTGACTCGTCTCATTTCTTAAAAAATGGTTTACAAACTGAAATGTGAGGTTTATCATTTTAGATCATTTTAGAGGAGACGTGCTGAAATGGCGTTTGGTGTCGTACTGTATCGCGTACCTTGTCAGTGTCGTGCGCTTTGCAAAGTAAAGATCTATTTCTTTTTGTTTTTGTGAGAACCTGAATCTCTACTGTAATTAAATCATGTGTTTACAGTCATTTTACAGTTTAATATGTTACCATAGACATTGCCCTACCCTGCTCATATGGTATTAATAAAAAAAAAATAATAATAATTTAAGGTCTTAAAATAAGGTCTTAAAAAGTCTTACATTTGATTTAAAAAATCCTACAGACAAATGTAGCATTACACTCTGCCAGCATCTAGAATGATTTTGATCAGCATTTTAGTGTTCATAACAGAGGGCTCTCTCAACTTGTTATATTTTACATAATTTGTCAATTGATACAATTGTTAATTGTTACAATATAATTACAAAATAATTGTTAATTGTTTGTTAATTGATTTTGTATGCTTTGCATTCACATGTGTGCACCCCTCAAAAATACTGTATATCTATGGTCGTTTATAGACAGGAATCTAACATGAGATGAGTTGTTTCGGATTTTTCTGCAGTGGTTTAAAGCAGACAAAATTAAAAAAAATAACATTTCAGATTCAGTACTCCATTACTAATGGTTACTCTGTTATGTTCCGTTGTCAACAGTGTCCTGCAGTCAGCCTCCTCTTGTCCTTAACACCCGCACATTTGGCCTGCTGCGCCCACGATATGAGATCAACTCACTGATCAGGTACCAGTGCATGGATGGCTTCATCCAGAGACATGTTCCCACCATTCGCTGCAGAGGAGACGGCACATGGGATTTGCCAAGGATTTCCTGCATGAGTCGTAAGTATTCTGTGAAAACCCAACACAACTTTTTCACAACAACCATCCCTATAGAGCTTGAATGATCATTCTGGCCTAGATACTATAAACAATACAGTGGTGTGAGTTTATTATATATATGAGTTTATATATACACTACCATTCAAAGGTTTGGGGTCGGTATGCTCTTATGCTCACCAAGGCAGCACTTGATTGAAAATACAGTAAAAACAGTAAGATTATGAAATATTATTACTAATATTATAATTTAAAATAAATGTTTTCTGTTTTAATATATTTTGAAATGTAATTTATTCCTGTGATGGCAAAGCTGAATTGCTTTAGTCTTCAGTGTCACATGATCCTTCAAAAATCATTCTAATATGTTATTTTGGTGCTCAAGCAGCTTATTATCATCAATGTTGAAAACTGTTGTGCAGCTTAATATTTTTGTGGGGAAAAAAAAAACCTTACTGACCCCAAACTTTAAAACAGTAGTGTACTGTACAATATATATTCTTATAGATACAGTGGCTTTTATCTTTTAAGAGAGATGGTTTTTAAGAACTACATAATGGACACATATTCAGCTGGCCTCTGAAAACGAAAAGATTATCTGACCTGCCCTCCATCTGTTCCGCTTCTTTTTGGGAATACATAGTGCCTTCATAAATTATAACTCTCAATCCAGATGTAAGTGAGCTGTAATAGTGCAACTAGCATAAATATTATGGTTCATGGTATTTTAGCCTATAAACATAATGGTACATTTTGATACACACTTTGCCGCATGATTCTTTCAGTCTTTTTTCAAGTTTACTAGAACCACAGGTGTATGCAGGCATCCTGCTGCTTACTGAACAAATGAGAAATCAAACATATGAATGTGAAAGAAAATATATTTATATAGGGAGAGTGAGCAATGGCTCACATGGAGGCAGTGTTTGTTGTGGTATAAAAAGGCCAATAATATCATTAAAAAAACTGCATCCAATGCAGTGAATGGTTTTGATATCTTAAAGTCAACACAATATGGTTTAATACTTTCAATACTTTGACTTTAAGCTGTTCATTGAAAAGCCATGAAGATTTCAGGTTATGAATGCACATTTCAATTCACATACATTTAATTCCGCCACCATTCATCTATAAACCAAAGAAACTTGCTGTATTTACTTAACATCATTTTCATCAACTATCATGTTTTTTTCACAGACAGTTTAAAACTACTTTAAAGAGAATGTACTTTGTGAGATGTTTAAAAGACTTGAATGAATGCCTTTTTAACAAGATATATAATTATAATTTATTATAATTATATATCTATAATTTATATAGCCTATAATTTATTTCTCGAGCTGCTCCTTGTCTTTTCATTGTTGTAGCAAAATACAACACACTGAGGATTTCACTTGGCCAAACTGCACCTTGACAGTGTGTTAATAGCTGGCATTGATGTGGCTAATAGATGAAATCTGGAACTCACAGAATTTAGATGGATTTCATTTTGACATTTGAGGTGTATCAATGGACCAAAAGAAGAGGATTCATAGTAACAGCTTTAACAGCAATTTTTGTTGAACTGGTCATCCATTTGTTTTTTTCCAAGCATTTTCTTTCTTTAAGATCTTTTCTTTTGTGTGCTTACTTGTATATGTTTTTTATTTTTGAGTAAAAAATACCCC